TTCAATGCAAATATACGCTATATATCTCCACACGCAAACATTCAAGCCATTAAAAACTGTCTATACAAAAAGGTACTCTTATAAGAAAATCGATATCAAATTCTGTTGACTATGTAAGTCTGAGAATTCTGGAACAGCCCCAGCTTTCCTTTCTCCTTTCATAGTCTGGGCCCACAGCAGCAACCATAGAGGATCCCAGCTGCATTATTCAGGAGTGGGTCTGTAGGCCCTCTGTAGAAGACGCTAAAGGCCCTACACAAAGACTTCATGCACCACACTGAAACAAATCCTTTCATTCTGGCAGTTGATTCCAAAGCAGGTGGTTGGTGATGCAATCATACTGAAGTAATAACTGTCAACTGGACTGAAATGCATCACTGGCAACGCCTAGTCCGATTGACAAAAAACTCAAGTTCCCAAATTCTAATGTAGCACTGATGTGATGTGTAGCACTGTGCCACATTCACAGAACTGATGAAATAACCAGCCACAAAGTCTGAAACCTAGAGAAGGAGCCTTTCGCCACTTCCTCTATTAAAAGTTATGTTGTCAGGCCTATTACTAAATTTACATAGTACTTCATGCAGGTCTACACTGTCTTTATGCTACTGTAGGTAAGACCATTTTAAAGAAGACTATTAAAAGTATTCTTCATTTTTAACAAAATTAACATTGTTATGCACATGCACAGATATTGGGTCAATAAAGTATCCACAATCAGAAGATTTACAACAGGAAATTCTCCACTCAAACAGTTTATCAACAAATGTATCAATGGCCATTGTCAAAATGACATATTTACAGATTTTACATAATACTACTAACTTACAATACTACTAATTTAGATGCTGCCCACGCTGAGAAGCCTCCCACCCAACTCGACTGAATTATGTTAGTTAAAATAATTAAAGTTTCTTCGGTCATACTGCATGAAACCATTTTTGTTTCCATAACACACAATTAAATATTTTACATCCTAGAAATCAACTCTAGAGACCAGTAAACAGACCGCAAAAAATGACATTATTAAATTAAAAACTAAAAAAGTCTACCCATCATGGAAATTAAAAGTAATTCCAATGAGTCTGAAACAGAGTAAGCTACAACATACTTATGTCTACCGACAAGGCCAAATGACAAACCAAGGCAATCACTCAGGAAATGTGAACACCTACATGCAGGAAGAGGAGACTGTCAGTGCACTTATTCCAAAAGACAGAACCATGGTTTCTACAAGTAAAAAAGGATCTTACAATACTACTTATTCCAGATCCAAACAGAAACACAAAGGTTCACGCAGAGCTTTCCATAAACTCATTCAATATTTCTGAATACTAAAACTAGCTTTAGAACTAGCAAGCATGAATGTGAAGTTCTTATTCTAGTAAACCTCACTCAAAGAAAAAGAGGCTTCCCCATTAAGTTCTGCTCCATATCCACTTTACACAACTGTTGTTGTCTATATGCTATATAAGGAACAAGTAATAGGTTTATTCCATGCTGAAAAAAAAGAAGAAAGAACAAAACGTTTCGGCCGTGGAGCCTTCTTCAGGTGTGAGAGAGACAGGGCAGTAGGCAAAGGTAAAGTAGCAGGAGAACAAAGGTTGAGAGGGAGGAGGAGTGAGAGGCGGGAGCAGGGGACAGAAAGAGAGGCCAATCAAGAGGTGCGAAGTCAGAATGGGTGCAAAGAGGTGTGAAATGAAACTTCCAATGAATGGAGAAAATTTAAAAGAACAGTAGTCTGTCGTTAAGGGAAGGGAGAATGTGTGATCCTAGCTGCAGAATAATTTTAGTTTCGGTGGTCTTTCTGATGTATAACACTATATGTTATACATCACAACACTATATGCTATATATATGCTAAGGAATGATGGGGAGGGAAAAAAAACTTTCATTTTTAGTAAACGAAAACCCTGATGAAGAGGCTTAACATTAAGGTGCATTTTAGATGACAAAACAACAACAAGCAGATTGTGTTTGCATTCCAAAAGGGCAACAGGGCACCTGAAACCTGTCACCACAAGGTAAAACAAGGAGGCTGTAATAATAATGATAATAATCATAATAACACCACCACTGTGCAGCCCCACCTGGATGATGTGACAGCAGCCATAGTGCGCCAGAACGCTCACCACACATCAGCTATCAGTGGGGAGGAGAGCAGAGTAATGTAGCCAATTCATAGATGGGGATTATTAGGAGGCCATGATTGGTGAGGGCCAATGGGAACTTTGGCCAGGACGCCGGGGTCACACCCCTACTCTTTTCGAGCATCACCCTGGGATTTTTTAATGACCACAGAGAGTCAGGACCTCGGTTTTACGTCTCATCCGAAGGACGGCACCTGTTTACAGTATAGTGTCCCCATCACTATACTGGGGCATTAGGACCAACATGGACTGTAGGGTGAGCGCCCCCTGCTGGCCCCACTAAGGCTGTAAGGCTGACTGAACAGTGAAAGAGGGCAGTGAGCCACAGTAGGGGAGCGGCAGTGAAATCACTCACAAGAAGGAGACTCAGTTGCAAAAGGCTACCAAGCCGATTCTTTCGCTGCGAGAGGGGTTCACCAAAAGAAAGTGGCAAAGTGCTCTGCTCTGCTTCCCTTTGTACGTCCCATCTAGAAATTACCAGTAGAACAATCCAGGGCTCCAACTTATCACACTCATGTGCTTCCTTACAATTAAAAAAAAACAGTTGGCCCTTAAGCAGTTCATCTGGAAAAAGATTCCACTTGGGGTCGAGGAAGTGCCCGACAAGCTGGAGTTACTGGTCTGAATTCAGAAAGCGTCACTGTGTCACGGCTCAGCTCCCCCGAGCCGGCCACTCCTTCTCAAGCACAGCCATGCACTTGTGCGAGGACAAGCTGGGAAAGGAACGCTCAGGCGCCAGAGATCGCCATCTTCCGTAGTTCTTACGCCACATCACGACACTGTCGATATCAGCTGTCGGCCCTTCACTCAATGCTGTTACTTCACACAGCATACAAGAGCAGGGGGCCTGATTAACGCATGGCTCCAGGGTACCCTCAGCCTGCCAAATTGTAGCAGCTCCCGGGACTAATCTGCGACATGCTCCACTCTTCCCATCGGAGGACATGTTTCCCCCCCCGCACAAACAACGTGCACAGTAGATGAACTGCTGGAGCTGCTTGGCTAAAACTGATGTCCCTTCTTAACTATCCAAGTCCCTCTTTATTTAACAGAAGGCCCAGGTACAAATAAGAGGAGGCTCTCTAGGGTGGTCGGCACTTCTATCCAAACGTTCCACACAGGAGATTCATGAAAACGGACCGGCAGTTGACCTAGTAGTGGTAAAAGCAGGTCTCCATCGATAACCGTTGACGGACAGAAGAGAATGTCGTTCATGACGTTTTCTATACTGAAGATTCTGCTCACAGGAAGTTAAATGTATAAAATTCAGGAAGATCTTTAAAACTCCTGTTGAAATAACTTCAATTTCAATAAAGAGTAAAATACAGAACAGCTGACTTACTCACTTCTTTAAATAAAAAACACTCTCAGAATATACACAAAAATACCCCCATCTTTAGTGTGCAAATAATGTTATATCCTAGATTAGTGTTCTTATTGTCTACAGTACTGTTTCTTCCTAAATCTGTACAGAGTCCATAGTGCTTTACATCTGGCAAGAGATCTGTAGAGAGCACAGGGTGGATGCATCATGGCCTACAGGAAGAGATGTGCTCCCTCACTAATTCACCAACACTCAGATTAACAGGCGTAGTTTTGCTCAAGCTTCAGACTCCCAAGGAAAACTAGTGTAGCTTTACCAGAATTAGTTCTCAATAGGCAGATGTATTAGAGGCAGGAAATCAAAACAAGTTCATTTTTCTGAAAAGAAGGAGTGCCAATATCAATAGAAGGCAAGAATAATCGAAAAAAAAATATTTAAATTAGGAACACTTGTACACCAGCCAATTAACTCGTAAGGATGTCGTTAGGGCGAATCTGAACTGCATAATGGGTAAAACTTGGCCTATATCCTGTACTATCTGATTTTAACTGGATCTTCCGATTTAATTGGGTGATCGGCGATGTAACCATCCGTTCACCTTCCTACAGTTCGTCCCAGGCCTTGTTTATAGCGTTTAGTGTTGCTACCAAAGCACAAGTTATGGTGTAAGTAGTAGGGTTAAGCAGTTGGGCCTTAAACACTTCTTGCCTAAAGCACAACTCTAGGCGTTCTTAAAATGCCAACACCTATTTCTATACAAAATACACGTGACTACGATACTAACACTTACTATTCAGTTTTGTACGTACGTATAAAATACATACACCCACCTATTTAACGCAGACACCTACACACACCCATTAGCGACGTATCTCTGTAACTGTGCACTTCACCTCCGTCTGAGGCGATGTCCGCCGACCCCAGGTGTCATTAGGCCAGCTTGCCTAGGGCTTCTAGGGGGGTTTTAATTTAAATAAACAACACACTTAACCCCTCCTTGCCCAGTAGTGAATAAAAAGCCATTTACGAACCTGCAGCGTCGTAATGTGTTTGTCGTTGAATTTGTTCTCGCAGTACCGCAGAACTAACGACGTCTTCCCCACACAGCCTTCTCCCAGCAAGACCACCTTGAAAGAGTAGGTTTTATTACCGACTCCAGCTCCACCAGCCGCCATCGTGAAATTCTTCCTTAATCAGGAATAAAAGTAACTCAGCACAACCCCAGCCTGCGCGTCACATCAGACATTTAAGTGGCAAAAAGAACAGCTGCGGACAGAAACCCACGGGGGATGAAATCCCGGTGAATAACAAGGGGGCTTATGTCAATAACAGCGCCTCAGTATCTGACAATCAGGCGCTCGCTCTCTCTCTTTCACCCTGTCTAATGGCGTCTCCTTCCTCTACGTCATGCTCCGGGGATCATATGATGAACTGGGCAGAGGCTGTCGAAAGTGCTAGTTAAAACAGGAGCTGACGGTGCTTTGAATCACGTAGTTGAACGGTGCAAGATTTGCAATATCTACAGGACGCCGATATAATGAGTAAGAATGAAGCATCTAAAGAGGAAAAGGAGTCCTAGATGTTCGTCCTTTTGCATAAATAATGCAAAATAACGTGTCTGCTGTGTTACTTTGATATGAATCACGCTTTATACGTTTAAAGCCCGTAAATATTGCAACAAATCTATAATATACTATAAGTAATAAAATACACTGCATATAACTAATATGAAACAACTATAGTTAAAGGCAGTACTCACAAATTGTATTTAGGTAGTTACTATTCTTTTAGAGACAGCAATTACAAAGCAACATCGAGGATCGTTCCATAAGGATCCTTTGAACAGAAAGACAGCTACTTTCACAAAGAAATTATGTTACCAAACTCCAAAATTCAGTAACAGTAAAACATTTTAGCGAGGAGACTGAATTTTTACAACAGTGGCAAAAAATAAATTGAGACACATGCACAGAGAAAAATAATTATTAAATAGTCAACGGTTTGAACCGGGACAGATCCAGACCTGAAAGAAACTGTGATTATTAGCACAAAACTACCCGAACAATAACCAACATATAAACTTATCCGTCCGTAGATTAATTTGTCAACAACAATTAAGTAAATGAAAAATCGAACTGTGTCTGATGCAAGAACCAAAGTTTATTTCAATTCAATAATTAATAGCGCATGATAAAAGTTCATAACTGTTATATGGATTTTGAGCAGGAAACCTTTGCTTGATTCAAGAGGGCATTACATTCAGGAAGATGGTGCATGTGGTCGAAATCGTAATTGCTGTAACGCTCACTGGTTTTAACCGCGAGATTGCTTCTTTTATTTTACATTTCCAGACTCGGAAGTTAACATTTCAAAGCATAAAAAGTCCACACCCTCTGGGCCTTAACACAACACAGTGAAGAATAAAGACTTTGACCTATTAATCCCTAGCAAAAACAGCTAAAATGTATCCATTTATATCGCAAAATATAGCAAGTAGTTTTTCATACAGTATGAATGAATTTGTGCATTCCAAGCTGTAGAACTGTCATTTTGTATTTCATAAGATCTGTTTTTGAAGTTGTTTTTTTTTTTCAGAAAAGCAGAGTTAAATCAAAAAAATCTAGACAGGCATTTCAATGAAACTTATAAGTCCGAAAAATCATTAATTCAAGTACACACTCCAGCCATATGGTAGCTATGTTTTATTCATTAATTTTGAGTTTGTTTTCCAATTTAAAATGTTTGTAGTCGATAATAAATATAAATCTTGATAATTTATTATTTTAATAATAATAATTTATTATTTGCATTTAATCTATTAACATTGTAATATTTCAAACTCTTGAATTGAAAAACATTTTTTATATTAGATGTGATTATTTTCGAACTTTGCAGTGTAATTACTAAAACCCAAACACATTCGCTATTTTTGTTTCTCAAAGGTTGTGTTTTTAGGGTACTTAAATAAATAATAAATAACTGTTTGAGAGTACCATATTACAATTTTCTAAACATTCCAGTATACTTTTTTTTTTCAATAAAATGCGTAAAATGGTATACAGTCAGCTATTCGTTTTTCAGGACACGAAAATATAAATTTTGCCATTTTTGTTTAGAGGCTTCTTACGTTGTTACTTGGCCTACTCAAACAACTGTATTGCAAAAAGTGCACCGTGGACCAATAACATTTAGTACACATGCGATTGTGAGGATAAGGATATGCCTTTTGAAGGAAATTAACGACACTAACAGCCACTGTTCAGACGCTTTTATTAGCGACCAAGAAAGGCACCACACGTCTTTGTGGACGTCTCTGGACATCGTCTGGTGGACACCGATAATGTAATTATGGTAAAGGTATGCGACCTTATTGCCAGTAAAACAATCAAAGCCGTTCTAATGTTATTGTACGTTCAGATATTACAGAGAATATGAAACAAAAGCAGAGCATTTTCAAAAAGGGCATGTTCGTAATGTGAGCTCGGAAATGTTTGTGTTGTGGAGAGGATTGTATACAGACTCAATTGTCCTTATTTTCTTCCTGTGGGCAAATTCCCTACTCCTAAAATTAATTAGTTAAGCGAAGCTCCCACAGGGAACATTAGACATATGTTCCAACAGTATTCATAATGAATGAAACAGCGTATATGTCACAAGCAGTTACGGTCAGTGAAGGAAAACAAAAACTTCTAATTTCCATCATTTCCTCTTAGAGGGTGTGTGGGATTTTAAGAAATCCATAGTTCTAGAAACACGTTAAGACTTCTTTTCACTGCAGTCAAGGGGTTTTAAGAAATTCACCAGTTTCTAATGGGCAACTACTCATTAAATTCAGACAGTTCCCGTGCAGGTGAGTTTTTATGTTTGTTCCAAGAACATTAAAACAAAAGAAGTTAAACCGGATTTTTAAACAAAAATTGTGTGAATGGTCAACATTAACGTCACGTTGTTCTGTGGACACTAAATATTGTGTTAAATCGGTGTTAGTGTTAGTGTTAACCTAAAAATGTATTGTATTTCTAACTTTCTAAGGCCTGCTGATAAATTACCCACCTGAAAACACCCCACTAGTTACATTTATGGTTACATTACTAAAGTAAGTGCTTCATTAACTATATACAGTATTACCTATATTAAATTACATTGCAGTTGTACAGTGTTTTACCTTGTTAGATAGTCCACAAAAATTGATTAATTTACTTCACAAGTAAACTTTACTTTACAAGCATTCAGCTTTCATCACAGAGCATCACGAAAAGCCAATTTCCGTTCCACATCTGACCTTAAATTAACTGACTGGGCAAGAGGTTCTCCCAGTGTTCATATGGGTTTCTTCCAGGTGATCCATTTTCCTCCCACAATCCAAAGACATACCGGGACGCTAACTGGATTCTGGATAAATTTGCCCTGGCGTGAGGGTGTGTGTTTGTGTCTATGGGTGCCCTGCAATGAACTGTCATCCCATCCGGGGTGTATTAATGTCACATTGTTTTGTTTTACATTAAATATTGTGTTAATTCTGTGTTAGGCCCTTTGGGCCTGTTCCATGTCCTAATAGGCTCTGGCTCCCCTGTAACTCTGTATTGTTTTGGATAAAGTGGTTAGAAAAAAAAAGATGGATGGAATTGAGTCATTGAAATGCTTTTTCTACTCGAGTTACAGAACATACACAACAATTTAAATGGGAAATGTTTTTTTTTAATTATTGGGCACCAAAGCTTTCTAAAAAAATGAAACAAACTGACATATCTTGTTTACTTAAGTATTCAACCCACCCCCACTACTTTGTAGAAACACTCTTTGCAGCAATTACAGCTTTGATCTTCTTGGGTACTGTTTGTCTCTATTAGCTTTGCACTTGATTTGGAGAATTTCACTCACTTGTCCTTGCAGATTTGCTCAAGGTCTAGCTCTGTCCAGTTGGTTGGGGATGTCGGTGAACTGCAGTCTTCTACAGATACTCAGTGGGATACAAGCCTAGGCTATGGGACACTCAAGGACATTTATCTTCTTGTTTTGAAGCCACTCCAGTGTAGGTTTAACTGTATGCCTGGGGTTGTAATCCTGTTTGAATGTGAATCTTGACCCCAGTCTAAGGCATTTTGCAGAGAATTTGCCTGTATTTGGCTTCATTCATTGCTTACTCGATCCTGACAAGTGCCCCAGTCCATGCCACTGGAAAGCATCTTCTTAAGATGATGCTGCCTCCACCATGCTTCATGGTAGGGATGATGTTACACAGGTAATGAGCCGTGTTCAGATTACAACTGACACAAAGTTCAAATGTTATCTCATCAGATCAGAGAATCTTTTGCCACCAGGTTTCTGAGTGTCCTCCTATCTTCTTGCAGACTCCAGACATGCTATTAACTTTCATCTAGCCACTCTCCCAGAGGCTAAATCAGTGTAATGCTGCAGAGATTGTTGTCCTCTGGACAGTTCTCATCTCAGCCATGGCAATTTGTAGTTCTGTCAGTGTGGTCATTGGGTTCTCGGTCTCTTCTGTGACCAAGGTTCTTCTTACCCGGTTGCTCAGTTTGGGCAGATGGGCTCCTCAATGATGAGTCCGAGTGGTTCTGTATTTTCTCATTTCCATTCCCAAATGATGGACCTGAATGTGCTCCTGCAAACGTTCAACACCCTAGATATGGTTTCAACATCCTGGGAAGTTTAAAAAGCCCTCCCCAGATATATGTATCCTCACAATTTTATTACCGAGTTGTACAGACAGCTTCTTGGTCTTCATGTACTGTCAACTGAGAGACAGTACTGTATATACTGTAGACAGATTTGCTTCTCTTGAAGCCCAGTTAACCATTTTAACTTACTACAGATGGACCTCAGTTTAGTTTTAGAGTGATCTTACAAGAGAATCTGATGCACATGGGCTCAATTTCGAATGTCATAGTAAAGGGGGTGATTACTTATGACATATAGAAATTTCAGTGTTTTCTTTTTAATTACATGTAAAAACTTTCCAGAACCTTTGTTCTACTTTAACATTATAGAGAAATATGTGTACAGCATATCAGTAGCAATAAATTAAGTATAAGCATGCTTCTATTTGAGTTTGCAACTTAACAAATTGTGAAAAATCCAAGAGGGGTGAATACTTTCTAAAATCTGTTTCACATGTGGTGGTGAAAGTTAAAAAAACAAAATATCTCTGTGGCATCTCACTGCAGTACAATAAGACAATGTAGAACATCAAACACAGTCTGCGTGGTCTTCATGTTCTCCCAAAATCCTCTCTGTCCAAGAGTTGTCCTTCCCAGTTTTGAATGTGAAGGACTGAAAGCATTCAAAGATCAAGATGAATCACAAATTTACTTCTAAGGGGCTCTCTGTGGTACAAGAACAGCAAGTGGACATCTCTTACTGTGCGTCTACCTAAACGTTATTTAGAT